ATAGTTGATAGTTTGAAAATTCAATAAAGTTTGAGTATTATTTGTATCGAAGTTATTTTAGTATTGCTATTCTAGTTTGAGAACTGATTTAAACTCACCAACTACCACATGGCAACAACCCTTGATGTTTTCATTTTTTTTGGATCAATTTTAGAAACAGTATTACAGTAATTTGAAATGAAATGATAGGGGCAGCATCATTGATAAACACGGTGGATCAGATGCAGATGTGAGGGTGAGAATCGGCAAAGCAACAGCAGTATATTAACAAGTGAAGAACATCTGGAAATCAAAACAATTATCTGTCAACCAACACTAAGATTAGAATTTTCAATACAAATGTGGAGAAAATTCTACTGTATTGTGCAGAAACTTGGATAATTACGAAAGCCATCATCCAGAAGATACAAGTATTTACTAACAGTGGTCTACGCAAAGTATTTCGGATCCGTTGACCAGACACTATCAACAACAACGTACTGTGGGAGAGAACAAACCAGATTCAAGTGAAGAAAGAAATCAGGAAGAAGTGCTGGAAGTGGATAGGACAAACATTGATGAAATCACCCAACTGCGTCACAAGATTAGCCCTCACATGGAATCCTGAATGGCAAAGGAGAAGAGGAAGACCAAAGAACACATTACGTCGAGAAATGGAGACAGACATGAGAAGAATAAACAAGAACTAGATAGAACTAGAAAAGAAGGCCCAGGACAGAGTGGGTTGGAGAAGCTGTCGGAGGCCTATTTTCCATTGGGAGTAACAGGCGTAAGTAAGTAAGTAAGTAAGTAAGTAAGTAAGTAAGTAAGTAAGTAAGTAAGTAAGTAAGTAAGTAAGATAGGGGTTCTTATTTTCGAGAAGAATATACATAACCTATGCTCCAACTATCGAAGTATAAGTTTATCTATAAATTCATTCAAACTGTTATTTTTCATTATGCCCTAGGGATTGTGAGTAATATGTGAAAGATTAACTGATAAGGAGCAATCTGATGTTCCTTCTGGATGATGGTGTGTGGATTATATCTTCACCCTTTGTCAAATGTTAGAGTGCCGTCATGCTTGTTACAAGCCAACAATTGTTGTATTTCTTGATATCAGAACCGTCTTCAATTCATAGTATAGGAATCTGCTCCGGGATTGTCAACTATGTATTTTACTAATATGTTAGAAGCTATGTACAGTAATACTACAAGCAGAATGGGGATGTACAACTACATACTTTTATCGTTCCATTCCACTTGTAGGGCAAGTTAGGTTTGCTTAGTTTCACCATTCCTCTTCAACTTTCCCTCCAATCATATTCTGGAAACAGCTCTGAAAAATGTACTTTGCAGCAATGTAGATCTATTCCCTGAAGAAAGACCATTCTATCTGGACTAACTGGATGACATTTACTTACTATCAGATGATACATAAGCCTTTCAAATCATATCTAGTCAATAGACAGTGTCTGTCTGGTATGAATCTTCTACCTTATAAATATAAAGTACTTCCCTACAAACAGCGGGAGACTACCCCTTCACTCACTTTTTGTAGTGATATAAAACTACTCAGTGATGTGCATGAATTAGTTCAACCTCACTTTATGATTTGTGATAATCAAACTTTGATTGTCCTAACAGCTGAACATCAGAAGTTTTACTTAATTCGATTGGATCACTTTTCATCTGAGTTATTTATCAATTCACATAGAATTCTTCATGCAACAATATTAGTTTACTTAACATCATAAGCAAAGGTGAATGGTAGTTCACAGTAGAATCTAGGACGCGCGTTTTATCCTATTTGGGACTCATCAGTTGGATGTACCTACATCCCACAGTTGATGTTCACTCCAGGACTTAAGGCAACACCGAGGCAATCCGGACAGGATAAACATATACCAGTGGGAAGATCCAAATAAACAATACAAAACAAATTTATACTTGACATTGTTTGCGTGGTAACCACGACTATAAATAAATAGATAAATCATATTCTAAAATTAATTATAGAATCCAATCTGAACTTTCAACTGATTGGATTAGACAATCACCTAAGTCCTACAGCATTCAACTAGATTTTTCCATATATTCTTTCAAAGTCCAAGTGTGTGTGTGTGTGGGGGGAAGAAGTCTCTAAGGATACAATCATTCTGTTGATAACGTTAGATTATCTCTACTGTTTGATCTATGAATTAGGAAACACTAATTCACAGTTCAATAAACAGTAGGTATTCTCTTTTAAAGATAAGCCTATATATTTAGAGAAGAAAATGAAACATAACTTTTTCATATTCAAAGCCTTACAATATTCTTATCTATAATGTCTCATACTGTTAGCATTAATCTTGTTCACAACAACACCAAGCGAAAGGTACTGGGTTCGAGTCCCATAGTGGACATCAACTCTGAGATGCAGATACATCCAGCTAATGAGTCTCAAATAGGACAAAACGCGAGTCCTGGATTCAACTGCTAGCTTGTTCACAATAATTTAAAATACCTCAGATCAATACTAAACATTGGTATAGACATCACTTTGTTCGTATCTTCAGTCAAACAATAATCGAATACACATTCATTGGTTCTGCAATCAGTTTAGTTAACAAATGGTAACTTTCAATATCAATATAGAGATTAATGGAGGTGGTAGTATTTTCATAGTCGAAATCATGAGTCAATCTAAGCTAGACCATCATTGGAAATCTGAATTTGAGTGCCATATGCAGTATCATGGATGCGCACTGTTGAGAATTCCCATATTAGGACTTGCTTCCAAGTTTTGAATGGTGGTCTAGCTTAGATCAACTTGTGATTTCAAATAACCATTCCAAAGTACAACAAGTGTAACAAAATGAGGTAAATTCATTTATTTCGCGGAATCTCATCAATTACTACTTACAACCAATGTACATACTTTAGATCATATTGATTAAGATTTGTATAGAATAACGACAGTATATACAAAAGTACTGAATTTGAAGGTTCTACAAGTGAAAACTTTAAAGCTCATGGAGACATCATTATTTTTGGAAGGATTTGTTAGTAGTGTGTTGTGTGCTACTTATATCGACATAAGTAGTATATAACATCAGTCAGGAATAGGATGACTGTCAGCAGAAGCTTAAGAAGATCGAGGAGGGAAGAACGGGAACAATGAAGTCTGAGACGACTGATTGATATTGGCAAAAGGAACAGTCAAGTTTGGGATGATTGATTGACATCTTGCATACGAGGTATACACTGTATGGTTTTCAGATTTCACTCAGGAATTCTGTATTATTGTTTTCAAATGCATTCGATGGTTCCCACTTGTGTTCTTGTTTACTGAAGGAGCTTTTATCCTCTTTAATATCATCTTATTATTAATAATACAAGGATTCTCAGATCTATGTTCATGATAAAACAGTCATAATGTTCTGATCTCATTGATCGCTTGTTACATTACTTTCAATCTGATCAGTTAGTAACCATGTTCCTCTTATCTCTGCTCCATCATCGTCCTTTCAAAGCATATATGACAGCTAACTGTCACTTCAACTAATTGGACGATAGCTTTTTCCTTGTATTTATCAGTAGTTCAGATGTGTATTGATTAAATATTATATCAGTAGTATATATTTTATATGGCTTCTATGGTTATTTTCTGTTTTTATACATTGATAGATGGTGGATCAACAGAAACTTATTGAGTTTAGATCATGAACTGATCGATGTTAAACCATCATTGGAAACCTGGAAGCACTGGACGACCATCACGTCTTACTATGGGACTCGGAAGTGAACATAAACGATCGCGCACTTGGCATTCGAACCCACGACCTTCGGTCTCGTGGATAAGTCTAGTGTCAGGAGTGGGATTCGAACCCACGCTTATAGAGTAAATTGTGGCCTGAACGCAGCGCCTTGGATTGCTAGGCTATGTTGACTATTTTCGAGATTGCTATATAATTGTAGTGTGATCGTCAATAATAAGATGAGGCAGTTACTCACTGAAGACAATGGAAAGATGGTCGCGCAATATCGTAGATTAGTTGAAATTAGACACTAACACCGTTGGATGCCGATTCAGTGGTCCATAACTTAAGCGTGGGCGCACGAGGCCGAAGGTCATGAGTTTGAGTACTGAGTCGGCGTCCAACTGTGTTAGTGTCTAACTTCAACTAATCCGCGACACTGAGTGACTATCTTCCACTGTCTTCAGATAGTAACTGTCTCATCTTATGATTGACGATCATACTACAGTTATATAGCAACCTCCAATATGGTCAAAAAGTGTACATACGCAATCGCGCACTCGGTATTCGAACTCACGACCTTCAGTTTCGTGCGTCAACTCTTAACTTCTAGACCACTGAGTCGGCGTCCAATGGTGTTAGTGCCTACTTTCAACTAATCCACGATATTGCGTGACCATCTTCCATTATCTTCAGTGAGTAAATGCCTCACCTTATTATTGACGATCATGTTGCAGTTAAATGGGAATCTCAAGAATGGTCAGGATGGCCGAGCAGCCCAAGGCGCTGTGTTCAGGCCGCAATCTACTCTGTAGGCGTGGGTTCGAATTCCACTTCTGACACTTTACTTAGACTATTGTATTGTATTCATTTAACAGATTAATGTAAGCTAAAAAGAAAGGAATTCTTCACTAATAATAAGTCATATGATAATGAGAAATTTCTATATATGTATATTCAATGACATTTTTTAAACGTGAATATTGGAAATAAAACAGAACAAAATCACACTTAGTAATAAAATGAGCGCGTGAATATATATATGTGAGTGTATGATGGGAAAGAGAGAGAGGAGGGAGAGAAAGAGCAGGGAGGGAAGGGAGAGGGAGTGAGTGAGGGAGGGAGAAGAGTAAAGAATGCTTGGGGAGAGAGGGAGGTAGGAGAGTAAAGAGTCAATATAATAAAGCTTAATATATGATATATATAATAGTATAATGTATTAATAACTCCCCCTCTATATTTATATACACAATACAATGGACGACAATCTAATTGAAGCTTATTTTCTTGGCTCAGATATTCCACTTGTAGTAAAACATGGTGCAGGGTCAACACGACCAGCTTTACCTAATCCTTTACCAGTTTCTGCATTAAAACGTTCTTTATGTGAACCAGTAAATGTTTTTACATTTGTCAATCTAGATGTTGTTGCATCTGAGCTAATTTTCTATAAAAAAAAGTCACAATAATTAATTGATTAAAATTTCGATTCAAATAATAAAGAAGTTTTAATTTGAATAGTTGAGATCATGAGTCAGTTGAAGTTCGATCATCAGGGAACACCTGGAAGCGGTAGACAGTGGTTTCGTTCGATTGTGAGACTCCTCAAAATCACGCATTCACGATCCCACACACGGGATTCCAATCCAAGAACTGTAGAACCTGTAGACAGCTAATTCGACATTTAATGGCGTTAATGTCCAACTTCAATCGATCTTCGATATTGCGCCACACAGTGGTCTACAGGTTATGCACTCATACGCGAGATGGGATCGTGGAGACGCGCTGCTGAGGAGTCCCAAAATAGAACGAAACGGCCGTCTGGTGCTTCCAGGTTTTAATGGTGGTCGAACATCAATCGACTCATGATTTCAGCTATTAAAACTACTATAATATCCACAAAAACACCTGATATTAATCAACATATGATCACTAGTGACTGGCTTCAACAGATATTTCCTAGAGTTCTAGTGAGAAGTGGTAGTGACCAGTGGAGTTCAACTGTGTCTTTTGTGAAGCAGTTACTCACCAAAGACAATGGAGGAAGGTCTCGCAATATTGTGGATTGGTCGAAATAAGACGTTAACGCCGTTGGATGCTGACCGGCTGAGTAGTCCAAAGGTTAAGCATTCTTGCGTGAGACCGATGGGTCCTGGGTTCGAGTCTCGCAAGACAGGATCGTTGATGGGCATTGCTGAGGGTTTTCTGTTACAATAATTCAAGGTTACAGAGGTGTAAAAAATGTAGTGATATCATGAGAAATTATGAATAATGAGAATATGAGACATAAGTAAAGAGAGAAATGCGGTGGTAATAATAATTAAAGCCAAGGTAACGTTAACGATAGGATATACCTCTTTTGTATTCATAGTTCTGGCTTGAGCTCATGAATAGTAAGAGCTTCAGCTAGTTTTAGAAGTTGGATATAAAGAAATCTAAACAGATTTGGACGACTTGTATATACAACCTTAAAATCAAACTGTGGATAAGTAGAATCATCACAGTCGATTAAATATTCCAGTATGGAACTCCTAACTGTTTTCCTCTCACCCTTGTAAAACCGTGCTGGGACATGTTCTCATATCCCAATTGAAAGTGAGCTCTGACTAAAGACAGTATACCTTGCTCCACAAGAGCAAACGAACTGTTAGATGCACATGGAGACAATCAGATGGGGAAGCTTATCTTCAATAGATTCAGAAAACAAGTTCCTACTAATGAACGTCATTCGTTGATATCATATAAGTTGATATACAATACGATGTTATCAATATGAATCAAGATATCTTTTCATAACCCCACCCCCACCATAATCAAAGATAGAAAACAAAAAACCACCTATTCTTTTGAGTCATATTAGATATTCATCAAGGGGGTTATCATAAATAAATAGTTTCTAAGATTAAAAAGAAAAAGTCATCATGGTAACTAAAAATAAAAAAAAATTTTATTATTTCATTGTAATAAAAAAACCAGAATTTTCTAGTTATAAATCAATAATTTTTGTTTGTATTTAACAGAAAAATAAAAAAAAAAACATTGATTTACAATTATTATAAACAAAGATGAATAATGGATAGTAGTGGAATCTATGAGGCATGTTTCATCCTGATTGAGACTCATCAGCTGGATGTACTTGTATCCTAGAATTGATGTTCACTTCGTGACTACAATCCAGTACCATTCACTGATGAATCACAAATAGAACGAAACGTATGTTCTCGATTCCACTTCTAATCATCATCTATCTTATGACTTAAGATAATGCATAACAACAGAAGACTAAGAAGATGGAATGGAATAAAATAGAATGTAAAGGAGAAATGATAGAAGATTTGTAAATGAAGTATTCAATGTATGATTCTTATATTGGTACCAAAAGATTCTGTAATGTTCTATTAAATAGTAAATTGGTTATCACCATCAAGTCTTTGTTCATTACAATATTTCTTTTACAATGAATCTGTTTAATCCATATGTAAAGTCATAAAACATTTCAGTGGTAGCAGTAGCCTCCGGAGGAGCTACAGGCGGAGTTGTTTAATCCATAAACTATTAACTAAGCATTGAAGATTTTTGATTATTAGCTTTTAAGACAACTGATCAAATTGTTCATTATCAGAATGGTGGTTTTGTGACGATTGTAGTGGTCGATTTAAGCTAGACAACCATTGAAAACCTATAAGCACTGAACGGCCGTTTCATCTTAACATAGGACTACTCATTAGTGTGCATCCACGATCCTTCATTTGGGACTCGAACCCAGAACTTTCGGTTTCACGCGTGAGAGCTCATGAATTCAATCATTAAATTACTACAATATTTACAACCCCCCATTCTGATGTTGATCATCATGTGCTCACTAGTAAACGGTTTCAAGAAGTATTTCCTGGAGTTCTAGTAAGAAGTCGAAACCAGTGGAGTTCAATCATGTCTGTTGTGAGGCAGTTACTCACTGAAGACCATGGAGGAAGGTCTTGCAATATCATAGATCGATTGAAGTCAGTTATTAACACTGTTTAATATCGAATTAGTGGTCTACAGGTTAAGCGCTCGCGCGTGAGATTGAAATCCCTGGATTCGAATGCCGTGTGTGGGATCGTGCATGAGCAATTCTTAGGAGTTCCATACTAGGACGAAATGGCTGTTCAGTGCTTCCAGGATACCAATGGTGGTTTAGCTTACACGGACTCGTGAATTCAATTACTGAAACGTTTTATGATCATACGTATATTAACTTTAATGTTTTAGCCAATAACATAATAGGATCCATTAAAATTAACTATGAAATATACTTACAGTACCACCATGAACCGCTGGTGATGTCTCAGCTATTTTTTGTTTAAGTTGAATTACTGCTTCCTCTTGTTCTATACCATTTGCAGTGGCATACACTTTTGCTAGTCGACCTTCTAGAAAACTTACAAATCCTGGGAAATCAACATCTCTGATTAACAAATAAACAAAAAAGAAAGAAACACTAAAAGATTAAGGATTGGAAATTTTATACACGTAAATGATATTTAATATCAACAATATTCATCTTTATAAGTAAAGATGGATAGTGGCTAGTAGCGTAATCCAAGACGCGCGTTTCGTCCTATTTGGGACTCGTCAGTTAGATATACCTGCATCTCAGACTTCGTTTTCACTCTGAGACTCGAACCTAGTACCGTTCACTTCAAACGCCATCATGTAATCCACTTAGCCGCTGAGTCCTGATAGCCACTTGCAAAAGCAAGTGCCTATCTGACTTCTAAGAATGTATTTGTTTGAATAAATGAAGATGAATATTAGATCCACTTGGTATTTTATGGAGATTTCAGTACTTTCATAGTTGAAATCATGAGCCAGTTGAAGCTAGACCACCAAGGAAAATCTGGAAGCACTGGACGACCGTTTCGTCCTAATGTAGGACTCCACGGCAGTGCGCATTCACTATCTTGCCTATCCAGATTTGAACCCAAGACCTATCACTCTCGCTCCAGAGCACTCAACCGGTAGACCACTTAGCCGGCATCTGGTGATGTTAATGTCTAACTCCAACCAATCCACGAAGCTGAGCAACCGTTCACCAATTGTCGTCAGTGAGTTCCTATCTCACAACACACGTGGTTGAACTCCATTGGTCACTGCTTCTTATGAGGACTACAGGAAATATATCTTGTAGTAAATCCTTATTTTCTGAGTTAACCTCAATTACATAGCATTTATTTACTCATATTACTAGATGAAACAATAAGATTATGGCTTGGTCAATGAAAGATGATAAATGAGGATCCACTTATCAAACAAAAAAACACACTTAGACATATTCTTGTTTGTTGTGGTAGTTATATTTTATCTTATATGGGTTCACATGAGTGACATAAAACTAACCCTGTGAATAGACTCCATCCCAGTTACTAAGCTCACTCGCTATTTCTTACTTAGTCGCTGAAATCTCAGTGGTCTTGCTTCTTTGTTCAAAAGAACCTTAATTAGATTAATTTATTAAAAGTATCGTGTACTCATAGGACTCATAGGACATTCTGTCTCTATACTGTCCTGTCGCGCAGCTTCAGTACACAGGCCTCCATCCGCGGTCATTTCAGGCACAAAGACATCAAATAATGAAATTGCATATTAGACGTGCAAAACGACCACCAGTATGCTAGTGTAACTGTATACAGAAAAACAGAAAAGTAATAGGTCTTCAAAATAAGTGTACACCAGTTTGAGTTTATAATAGTGTCAAATAATAAGAATTATTATTTAGACCATGAATCGATCAATGTTAGACTAACACTGAAAACCTAGAAGTACTGGAATACCGTTTCGTCGTAGTATTGGACTTCTCAGCAGTGAGTATCCACGACCCACCTAGCAGGATCCGGACCCAGGACCCCCAGTCTCGCGCACGAATGCTTAATAGCTAGACAACTGAGCCGGCGTCCAACAATGTTAATATCTAACCTGAACCAATGCACGGTCATCTTCCATTGTCTGAGGTAGATACCATTTTCTTCCCAACACGGATCACCTACACTGGTCACGACTTCTCACTAGAACTCCGAGAATCACTTCACAAAGCCAGTCACTAGTTAGCACAGGATCACTTAATAAAATCTGGGAACCATACAGTAAATACTTCATTCCCATAATGTCTACTAATTGTCTTAGACTTCATTATTCCTTCATTTTCACAACAATCATTCTTTATTCTCGTTCTCTTTTCGTTGATCTTCTTAACCTTCTGCCACCAGGCATTTTATTTTCGATTGATGACACATACTACTCATGTCTATCGAAATCAGTAGCATACAGCACAGTATGAGGGGAATTTGTGTTTAGAGCTAATTAACTGTTCAATTCTATCTGTCGTCGTATGATAGGAAAGTTCAAAACCGATATGCACTTTATACTACTAACTGATCAACAAGATCGTTTAACCTCCAGTCTGCAATTTACAAAATAATGGTAGAACAAAAGGACAAAACATTAAACAGTTCTACTTGGTTTCATTTATTGTAAAGAATTATTCGTATCGTCAATAAGAAGATAAGCTTCTTCCTACTCTAGACATTCAAGAATTAAATAGCTAACGTATAGATAGCCCATTCTGAAGACTTCTTACCATTAAATAAATTGAGAAGAATAAGATATAGTACAAGTCATATTCTTCATGCTTTATTTAGTGAATAGCTCCAAGAGGTATTTCCTGAAGTTTTGATGAGAAGCAGTGACCAGTGGAGTTCAATCACGTGTGTTGTGAGATAGTATCTCACTGAACACAATGGTGGACGGTTGCTCAATTTCGTGAATTGGCTGAAATTAGACATTAACATCGTTGGATGCCGGCCCAGTGGTATAGAGGCTAAGAGATTGAGCACGAGACTAACAGGTCATGAGTTCGAATCTCGTGAGGTGGGATCGTGAATGCGCACTACTGAGGAGTCCCACACTAGGATGAAACGGCCGCCTAGTCCTTCCAGGTTTTCTATGATGGTCTAACTTCAATTAATTCATGATTTCAACTATCAATTTCCAAAGTTGAATTCATAAGTTAACCTAAACTAGACTATCATGAATACCCCGATAGCACTGGATTGGCTTGAAGATGGATTCCCCCAGAGTTTATACATATACAAAATCAATATAACTGTATAAGAATTACCTTTTAGTACTTCCAATATGTGCATGAAATTCAATATCTACTCGATTTGCATCTAATTTTTTAGAATAAATTTGACAATCTGTACATATTTTCTTAATTGTTTTATCTGTTGCTGTAATAGATCCTTTTTTAACAAAATTACAAAATGATAAAAATGATTGTTTTAATTCATCGGATGACATTTGATATTCTAATAAGGTAGATAGATAGATCCGTTGATAGATAGATAGATGGATCAGTTTCTAGATAGATAGATCAGTTGGTAGATAGATAGATAGATGGATCAGTTGCTAGATAGATAGATCAGTTGGTAGATAGATAGATAGATGGATCAGTTGCTAGATAGATAGATCAGTTGGTAGATAGATAGATCCGTTGGTAGATTGGATAGATCCGTTGATAGATAGATATCCTTGTTAAAGATTACCAGTAAACTCTTAATCACTATGCTCGTTCACCATATACGATATCTATTTATCATTGGTAAATCCAATATCATTTATTATCATTATAAACGATCATTTCATTGGTCTATCAATTGATATGATTCTCTTTATATTATCATCTATTTGACTACTTATTTAGGTAGGCAGTAGTCTTTTTTGATTATCGAATAGAACAGTTAACATTTATATTTGGTCCGTCAGTTTAGATATGAACAATTTCAATCAACCAATCATAATGTTAAATGTCTAATTTTGATATAATGAAATGTATATAGGAAATATAGGCGAATGAATTTCACATCATACACACACTTACATACATATATAGATAGATAGAAATAAAATGTATATTAGTATTGATAGATAGAGATTGTAAGCTAAATCATCTCATGGTATTCCTCAACGATGTATGCATCCACTTTCCGCATATGGGATTCGAACTTAAGACCTTTGATCTCGTGGATGAATGCCTAACCTGTAGATCATTGAACCAGTATCTAATAATGTTAGGTATTAAGCAGTTACCCACCGAAGACTATGTAATATGATCACGTAATATCATGAGATGGTTGAAGTTAGACATTAACACCGTTGCATACTGAATTAGTGGTGTAGAAGTTAAGCGTATGCTCATGAGACCGAAAGTCATGGGCTAAAATGTTGAGTTCAAGATCGTGATATGCGCACTACTGAGAAGTATAATACTAGGACGAAACTGTCGTCCAGTGATTCCCATTTTGATCCCTTCATAACCCTAATGTTTTACCAAGTTTATTCATGGGAGTATTCTTCTAATAAAATAAGCAAATCATACAAAATAGACCTCACTAGTTTTACACTGAATGCAATCTAAAGTAAGCAGTGTTGAGCATTTCTGAAAACAAACATGAAATCTGTTCAGTTCTCCCGTGTAATCGGGATTATCACAACTTACTTAACAACATGTTCATTTGAAGACGGCAGTTTAAGTCGAGATCACTTCAAACAATCAATGAATTTATTACTGGTAATACAGAACACACAAGATACAAACGACTGAGACTGAAACAACTCTGGCTGTGTGATCAGTGACAAAACATAAAACAAGAAAACGACTGTACACAAAGACACATCGACGCATTCTGTTACACTTCATGAACACAACGTCGAACAAATATCAATAGACCGAAATTAGAAACAATAAGTGTTATGGATGTAATACAAACAGATAACTGTGAAAATGTAAATGACCATCTGTCGATACAAAGATTTCATGCATGTGTCTGCATGATCACATTCCAGCTTCTACCCTATCGTCTGGAATACCGAACCATCGATGTTACATTTCTTCCAATCAACTCCACGAAACCTATAATTCTTCATAAAGTTCAGGTACTGTGACAGATTATTCACATATAACTTCCTGCAAAGCTAAATGTTTCTGATAATGAGTTCACAGATAATAATGATAATTATTTGTAAGGATGGCTCGTTGGCAAACTCAAGGAAGCCTCAAGAAGCCCAGAAAGAGCCGAAGACATTCCATCCAATCACCACTAGGGTAACATTCTAGAATTTCGACGTGTAGCCTCCCTATTGGAGGAATAAAAATGACCCTCTTGTGTTCCTATTGGCTATCCGAAATGATGATTTACTTTCAGCCAAAAATTATAAAGTTATGAGATTCATATACAACATTTGACACTGTTTTGGGTAATAACATTCCCACTTACTAGTCTTCTGTCTTCTCTACTGAGGCGTTGCGGGGTCGATCGTTCAAGTAGTCTAGTAGTAGGCGGCATAACAGGAATCAAAGCATTATTATTATGTTGCTCGCATCAATATATTTCTGGAAATGTTGATGCATTGACAAGTGTTCTATGAAGATGATGATCAACATTGAATGCCATCTGTAAAATATAAAAATCAAACAGATCTCAACTGTTTCATTATAACCATTGATTCTCCACCAGATCATGATGAACTTCAACTGTATTCCACAGTTCAATCACTATGTCATTTGAAACGATGAGTGACCATTTGAGCGAGCATTACAGTTGCAATGTCGAATCCACTGAGTGTCTGTCTGATTTGTCTCTTCTGTCGTGACGCCGTACAAGAGGGCATGTATTCTGGTGCTACATTAACTCCAGACGGTTGGTGATGGATGCCTTGTTGGTCGCCACCCCTCAATGTCAGAAATGTAACCTGAAATGGACAAACTATGTTAACATCTTACCGGAACGACTGGCATTGGTGAGCAAACACAATGACCAGCTGTGAGTACTGCTCTCGTTGAGACTAGTGAGCCTGTACACATTGTTCTCTCTGTCGTTATAAATGCGATGTACGGGAATTCAGTGCGGTCTTGCACAGGTTAACCTTTACGTATCAGCCAGGTTGACACACGTTCAAATATTAGACAGTAGATGAACTGTGTCATCACCAGAAACCTCCATTGGTTCGACATGTATGTGATCGTTGCAATCAATCAACTACAATGTTGCAACACATTCATCTATTTATATGCGCCAATATTCCATGACTGTTGAGTACATGTGAGTGAGTGGTTTTGCATGTGTGTAAGTCAGTCAGTCAGTCAGTGTGTTATTATTGTTATTCTTATTATTATTCATTTTGTTGGAAATTCAACTTGCACTCCACTTCAATAATGCATTGTTGTGACGCTTTCACTTTGTAGTCATGACACGTGCCAATTATTAATCAGGAAGTGCACGACTCTCGTGTTTTGTCGTGTCATATTTTGCTGTATGACAATGTTGCTCAACTGTTCACGAGAGTATCTCACCATAAGAAGAAAACAACTTTTGATAAATCTATCCAATGTTCGTCGTATTTTTACTCTCAACCTTTCCGTATCATCGCACCTTTGACTTATCAGCCTACCTAATACTCGTTTGGAACAAATACTTTGCCAACAATTGAAAAGTAACATCATTTCACTTTGCACATAGTTACTATTTTCAAACCACACTCAAACATCCGTTTAGTCAGTGTTTCGTCTCATTTAACAATCACATTCTATATCATACATACAAAGCATAATTATATGTGTGGATAGTTTTCGTCATATAATCTACATGCTACAGTTGATCTTGTACAAATGATAATTGAAGAAGAAGCATAGATAATTCATTGGAGAAGATTATCTCCTTGATGATATTATTTAGTCAAACTGAACAGTTGTTTTCGTAATAACCTTACAAATTAAATTTTTTGAGAAATGAGAGGATGGAAACATCATATTATGTGTCAAGAATGCCGCTTAATAATAGAGTATTTAGGATAGATGATGAGATGAAATCAAATATGAGAAGGATATATATTCCAATTGATTGATCACTGGGTGATAATCAACGTCATGCGTGTCAAGTCCTTCTTAGTGCTGATCGAATGCTATCGATCAAGTTGCAATGTGGCCATTAGTCTAGGTGGCTCAACACTGCGTGCACTATTTTTAGAAAACATGGTGGTTGAAGTTAGTCAACAGGAAACCCTGGGCCCGGGTTTCGTGTTGCTTGGCACTCGTCAGGAAAGTGTACCTGTGTTCTTGAGGGAACTGGTGCTCCCTGACGGATTCGATCCCCTGTCACTCAGCTTCACATTCAGAGACGTTAACACTGAGCTACTCGGGCCGCGACTGACTTACTGTAGGACTGAGATATATGTCCACTCGACCAGCATGAGAAGGATGAAGAATCAAATTTCAAGAGTTTTCTATATCGAATTGTAACAATTCTCCTTCAATATCACCTTCATTTTCTGGATGTAAGACTTTGTGCTAGAATATATTCCTTATTCTGAGTTGAGATTGAAAATGGACTGTACATGTCTGATAGATTGAGGATTTTGAGAGTTGAATCAACTCAGACAGATACTTATCTGAAGGAACTTCACAAATAAACAAATACCGAGCAAAACAATTTGTTACACAAAGATATTGGGAGAAATTTCACAAAAAATGCACAATCTGTCATGAAACATTTGTATTTGTTATGAACACACACGCATTTCTTCGGACTAATAGTCTTGATTTGATGAAGCTAACTGGATTGATGTCCTTGTCTAATGGTGACCGTGAACGTAACTCTACGATTAGATTCATGTTATTAGGTCTACTCAGTATATTGTTCATAGAAAGGAAGTAATTTTAAATGTAAACTAAACTTGTAAAAGTAGGATAACGAAACCATCATGTGCTTTGTCAAAGAAAGGTACTCAATAATAGAGAAATGGACAGAGATACTAAAATGGAATTGAATGTCATAAGGATAATTGGGCACACGTCTAGTATGTGGAGATTGGATATTAAATTAGAAATGTCAAGTTGCTCATCAGTTCTCTCATATTAACTTATCCGCCCTCACATCTGGTTCTTCTTAAACCTTCACGATCCAATATCATTTTTCTGATCCTAACTAAGCTCGTCAGGTTTTCTACTTCAGTACAACTGCACAGATCATCTCAGTAGTTTTCCCAACACTTTTTATCACTCTCACTGAGGCATTGCTAAGAATGTGATCTTAATACTTATCAACCAGAAAGATTTAGTCCAATTCATGTACGGATAGCCGATTCAGCTCCTGAGTTTCACTAATTATTGGATGAATAATTTGAACTCAACACAGCTGACGTCACCCAGGTGACCATTGTCGATGCGAAACCCCGGAAGCAACATGTTATAATAGTGTTGAAGAGTCTACAATCTAATAAATTGTATATAACATACAATTTTGCGAAAAACGAGCAGCGCTTTTTCATATAGTACTAATATTCTATATCAGCCAGTTGTGCCTTATCACCATCAAAGTAATAAACAATTAAGTGAGAAAATAGCCTTGGTCACCTATCATATTGCACCTTCACAACATCGTACTTCCATGATTAAACTTAATACTCAAATTATTACCACTAATAATCGCAATACAGAATATATGAAATCATAGTTTGCCTACTGTGGAAACAAGTACAGAGGGACATAGGTCTCATCATATTCCTTAACCTGTGAGGCATCACTGATGAAGAAGAATGATCTGAAGCAGACGTAAAAAGTAGGGATTAGCAAAGCAAAGACAGCATCCCTACGATTGAAGAACATATGGAACTCCAAACAACTGTCAACTAGTTTCACAGTGAGAATCTTCAATACGAACGTCAAGACAATCCTACTGTAGGGAAATGAAACGTGGAGAACTACTACATTCATCATCAAGAAGGTACAAGTATTTAAAAACAGTTGTCTACACAAAATACTCAACATTCACTGGCCGGATCGATCAGTAACAACCTTCTGTGGGATAGCACAAACCAGCTTCCATCTGAAGAGTAAATTAGGAATAGACGTTGTAAGTCGATAGGTTATACATTACGGACATCATCAAACTGTATCACGAATCAAGCCCTAACTTGAAATCCTGAAGACAAACGGGAAACAGAAAAACCAAAGAATGCAATGTTTGAGAGTTGATAGCAAACATTGAAAACGACGAATAACAACTGGAAAGAACTAGAAAGGATTGCTCACGACAGAGTTGAATGGAGAATACTGGTGGGTGGCCTATACTCCTCAACGAGAGGTAACAGGCAAATGTAAGTAAATAAGCAATAGCATGTTTCCAATTTCTGAATAACTAGTTGAAGCATGAAGAAATTGAAGACACTGAATAGTAGTGGGGATGAGTCTCTTACGCTGTTAATGAACAATATCAATCTCATCTATCCTGATACTGTCTCATCACATAACATTTCTGGTGTCCCTACGAAGCTAGAGTAGTTTGCAGGATACTCAACAATATTCTTAGGGATATACTCAGAAAACCGAAACTAGCTCCATTGAATTTATTAGTCTCTAAATCTTATTTCTTAAATATCATGTCCGATATTCAATTAATACTAATGAAATCAGTATCGCTCATCTGGCTAACATACTGGTGTCTGTGCTACTTGTCAGAACCAGTCAAAGTTGCCATGCCAATCGATCCAAAAACGATTGGGCTAACTTATAACCGAATTTGGCAGCTCGTTCCAGATTACGGAGAAGCAAACCAGTCAAAGTCACAATGATCCAAACAACGACTTGTACTCGCAAAACTAAAACAAAACCTTAGAATAAGCTCTAGGAACGAATTCTTCAACTTCTAAGATCAATAAAAACCAACGATTTCGCAGAATCCAAGATATGACTTCAAAAATCATGAGCCATGACTGCTTTTTAAACAAGATATCCATCAAAATTCTGAAAATAACTGTTTTTGACAAATCACATCATACTTATAACCGTTGTATCCTTTGACATCCTTCCACCACAATAAGCGTAAATAGCCACACTGACGAAACGACCAAAACATTGTACAAATGAATTTCACTATTTCAATTTCGATATAAATGAATAAACGTTGAGGGTGCCAACACTTCATTTTCGTTAACAACTACTTTGGACTGTACATTAAATCAATTTCGTGAATCATTCAGCAATACTTTTATTCATGCCCTTTCTCTTCCGAAATAATCGTTTGACTGGCACACCTAATGATATGATATTCTCAGCTTTTCCCTTAACAGTGATTGAGCTTATTGATGGTACGGACTTACAAAGAATAACCACATACCAATCCAACAAAACAGTAAGATTGATGTGCGAAGCAATGTTCATGTTAAATGATGCATTGACTGTCAATCGTACATTAACATTAACAGTTTTAACAATCACGATATTTTACTCAAAAGAATATTGCTGTCTGTTCAGTGGGTTTTTTCCCACTTCGTATCATCATTTTTTATCATAATCGTTAGTAAACTATAATTACATTTACTGTTTCATTCCTTCGATTATGTTGAAGATGCTACAGGTATTGAGAATTTGACAACGCTCTAACCAGTGACACCTTCCATTATGAATCATACTCATCAAGTGGAATCAAAAGAGAGAAGCGAGGAGGTTCGAAGATATATTTGATAGGTTATCAATATATCGTAAATCGACTGATCTTATCTGACTAGCGATTGCAGGAAATGTTGAACACGTCGTTCCCACTCGTGATCTGGTGCAGATCCATGACCAAGCGCTTTCATCTAGGTAAGTCCATTAAAACCAATGTGGTCAGCATCCAATGTCGAAGACTTACAAAACTATTTAATTTGGGGATTTATTTACCGTTACAATGTGATACAACAGAGACTTTCCTAAATATCGTCATGCTCTGTCCGTGGATTCCACCGACATTTCTGCTTCTCTTTTTAGGTCGGTCGACTCTCTGTTCTGTTTTGCTAGACTGAAAACCTGTTTCTTAGCTAGCCGAGTCACTGAGAAAAGTACCAGATTTGGTGCTACTCTAACCATCGGTATAAGCTAGTAAACCAGACAGTAGTAAAAGCGTAATTATTATCCCTACAAGAAACAATAAATAAGACGCCCATAAAGTTTTGATTCATTATATCGTTTATTTTTAACAGAACAGAATATAATTTTCTCGATTTTCAATATACACTTGGAGGGATGATGCCAGCTAGCATTATTCAAATATTAGGTAGTATAAATTTAAGCATTCTAGGCACACTAGAATACTCAACGCACAGATCAGCAAGAGCTGGAAGGAATACACCATTTGATGCCACTCCGACAATTGGACCTTGGGGAGTGAGAAGAAGAGGTCCGCCACTGTCACCTGGACCAGCTATTTGCTTTGAGTTCGGACCTGGTTTGACGCAAATAGGATCCCCGAACGTTTTGTGTCTGCATGCCATGACAGTAGCACTACCTATATGTAAAAAAGAGCAGTTAGATGGATTTCGAAAGTATCAGACAACAAAAATAATTCACATTTAGGTGACATCAAAATTAGATCATTCCCATTCAATCTCTAATACGGGAATGTACTGTAATTCTTATAAAACCAGTATCCACTGTGACAATTACTATTAACACAGTTTTAGTCAGAAGGGGTGTTGTGGACGTTATAGTAAGTTTAGTAGTTGAGATCATGAATCACTTGAAGCTAGAACACCATGAAAAACCTGGAAGCACTGGACGGCCATTTCGTTCTATTGTGGAACTCCTGAGGACGAAACAGCCGTTCAGTGCTTCCAGGTTTTTCATGGTGGTCTAGCTTCAAGTGATTCATGATCTAAACTATTAAAATAGTTTTAGTCATTCAATTTTACATATAAATATGGACAATAATTATTCGCATTCAGTAATACATACTTTAAGAAACGGTGGAAATGAACTGAATTCATAATCAAAGTAATGAAATGGAAAACGATCATGTAAAACCGCTTAATAAAACAGTCAAAACAGACTAACTTAAATAGGTCGATGACTGGAAACTTACCTTTTTTTAAAATTCCACCATATCGACCGGATGGATCAGGATCCCTAATATCCTGTCCATAACCTACCATATAAGCAATACTTTCTGGTATAGGTATATCCGATTCAGTTGCTAGACTAATTACTTTAACTCCAGTCTCCAAGTTGACCAAATTAGTGAGTGTTATAATTGCCATATCATAACCACCAAGTGACTTCGTAATGCGTTTATTTTCTCGTTTCAGTTGACAAACAGGATTGTACTCTGGTGCAACTTTAATTTCCAAAGGTCGATGATTAATAGTTCTCTGGTCAAATTCACTTAGTGATAGAAACGAAACCTGAAAACAACAAAGTATGTCAAAATTAGATTTATGCAAACCCACTGCGCACACTGCGAATTTAATCGATTACATTGAACAACAATGTGTCTCAGTGTGTTCTCTTACCCGAACGATCGGTTTCTGTCCACAAACACAATGACCAGCCGTGAGTACTGCCCTTGACGAAACTAGTGAACCTGTGCACATGGATGCATCTGTCATCAAAAGTGCAATGAATGGGAATTCAGTGCGTTGTTGAACAGGTTCACCACTACGTATCAACCAGGTTGATACACATTGACATGTTAGGTAATAGGTGAAGAGCGTCACTATCAGAAAAGTCCAACCGTTCAACATGTCTATGTGATCGTTGCAATCAACCACCTACAATCTTGTAACATATTCACTTATTTATATATGTAAAAATATTCCATGACTTTGAGTGCATGTGTGTCAGTTCATTGTGACGAATCCAATTTGCACTACACTTGATTCATAAATTGTTGTGACAGATTTGATCAAGTATTCATGACACACCTTAGTGAACTAGAAAGTAAGTATTACACGTTTTAGGTGTTCATGAAGTAGAAATAAAACATTTCCGGAATACAACATGTATCGACTAATCTTACAAGTGAATTTCTTTACTAAACAGATGGTATACTGTTGTAAGCGTTCAATATTATCCATATATTATCAGAAGGAGTTTTGTGGATATTATTAGTCATTTTGATATTTGAGATCGTGGATCCACACTGCTGAGTAGTCTCACCATCAGACGAAGCAGCCGTCCAGTGCTTCCAGGTTTTCCATGGTGGTCCCAATTATTCATACATATATATCTTGAGGAAAAATGTACCAAAACAATGCTATGATGGATTAAGATTTCAATGGCACATAAAAAGTGTTCAATGTGCTTCACCATTTAATGAGGTAGTGTTATTCAGAAGGTAGTGCTATTGGTTTTCTACAGTAGTATAGTAAATGATGTATATTTCGAAACTATCCCTAGTTAAGTAAACAAATCATCGAGATGTCATAATTTAATTACAGTGTTGAATATAGATATACTAGTGAGTTTGTATGAATGTTAAGTTGTCGAGCTGCCAGGAAATCGACAAAAGTTCTTCTTCTTAGAAACAAAACAATCTTGAGCCCAGAAGTCCTGAAATCACATAGACGATTCGTTTAGATCAACACTAAAAGCTAAAACTTCAGGATAAATCGTTACCTATGAATGATACGTTTCTTGAAAGGATAGTTATGAACACTTGACAGATTGTCTTTCGTGACCAATTCAACACTCATCAAATAAAAAGTGAAAATTTAACACAATGTTCAAAAGTAATAAGTGGTTAATTCGATCCTACTTGAAAGAATGGTCCTATAGTAGTTGAAGCCATCCGATTTTCTTCACTGAACAACACATTTTATCAATCACTATAGGCAAAACAAACTGTTGTAGTAGTACGATTAGGATTGCTTGTAGTCATGCCCACAAATCCTGAACATTAGATGCGGCAATGAATTTGATTGAAGTTTTTATTTTCGGTTGTACAATTCACAGTGTCATTCAATACCTGATCATTTCTTCAAACTGCTTCTCAACTACTCAATCATTAAAGAATAAATCTATTCAACATTTATTCTGTGCTACATGACGCTCACATTGGTATTCACATGGATACCGATTACGCTGTCAATTACACTGCTACGTCAATTTTCATTCATTTGACATATGTTGGTGAGATTAGACGCCAACAGTAAATACCGTGACAGATGTCTGGAAAGTCACTACCATACAACAAACAGATGTATTCAAGTTTTGTTGTATTATTTGTAGGTTACATAGGTAGATTGATGACTGAGAACTTCAACTCTCATCGACTGAGAAACGATTTTCGAAAACTCTTCACATCCTGCGCTGTTTCAGCAGAAAGATTATGTTATCGGTGCTCACACAATCAAAGCGATGCATAATTGTGTACAGAGACATGTGTTCAATCACCAATGATTTTCCTCAGACTCAACCGATACTCCAAATATAGTTATTGCAATATATTATAAACTAAATATATCAATGTTCACTCCCACAGATATGAGTTAGTTATCAAACTGATAGTTGTGCAATATTCTCATTAAAGCAACACCAAAATGATGCTGTCAGTTTTGTTGATTTGGTGCAGTGTGATGTTGGGGCTTTCAAGTAACTGTAAATATGTATATTGTCATTTCAACTCTCGTTTTGTGTACTCTATCGTATTGTATAAGCATTGTGTCTTGAAAGCTCAATTTTACATCTGTGGTTTCACTCGGTAGCCATATTTTAATCAGGACTATGAGATTAGGGTCTAACTAAGAGAAAATGTTTTCGATTTCCTACAGTTTATCCCTTTCTGTAGAATCATATGATTGTATGTTTCATCATCTGGTGCTCCACTGCAGCCACATTGCTTTTCTGGTATTTAGGCAGATCGTTGTTGAAATCGTGTTGACCAGTTCTGTGCTAGCTGGTCGCTGCAGGTGTTTTGTCCATATAGAATGTCCCACTGGAGAGACCATGGCATTTGTGTTCTGCACCACGTGTTTCGGGTTTTTGCTGTCAACTCGACGATCAGGATCGCCTTTCACAACATCTGATTTGACAGAAGAGGTCGTCCTTCGAGCTGTACCACACATTAGTAGCCTCATTTCAGTTCCCTCGGTTTCTGAAATTCGCCAACATCAGACGAGAAAACTTAGTGCTCGAGGTAGCCTGAACACACTAATTATCGTAGTGGTGTGAATGCCTGTGTCACATGATGGCCAACGCAACTATTGCCTATTGTGTTTGCTTGCTTCATCGTGACTACCACCTACTAGTCCGGTCACTCTGTAAATCATCAAGCTGGTTGGTTCGTTTGTGTTTCTTGTGTGATTCAACTTTCTCGACAGTAATTGCCAGGTGGTTTATGGGATTGACTGGAAATTATCCACAACTGCTCGAAATTCCAAGCCAATATTGTTGGTATTTAAGCGTATGATTTGCAAGTTTTAGTAACTATTGGTTGATTTGTATTATGAAATTTGTACTAGTGTAATTATAAACACATTTGTTGCTTGTATAAATTTGTTAATTGACTAATAATAGATCGTTGTTTTAATCTAATCCATCTAGCTCAAACTGCTTTAGTTGGATGTAGAAATAATATTTTGGCTTCAGGAAGAAAGCTACACAAAGTCTATCCGAACTCCGTATATTATACTACCGGTTTATAAGATATTTGCTTTAAGCTTCAGGTTGTGGAACATGTCCGCATTCATTGGAATTAGGAGCGGACCTAAATTAGACTGTAGTTACATACTTCTATGACGAAAATGCGATTAATGTAACGGAAACAATTATAATTATGACAAATTGTACCAGTGATTGTTTTACTGTACTTGTTTGTTTAAGTGTACCAAACACATCCTTTCTTCCGTTGCCTGTGACCTTGCACGAACTCGAGTAAGCTCCGTAGTTCCACTTGTAAGGTTTGGCACGTCTCGGCATTCTTTCGATACCACGAGATTGCCAACAAATATATCTGATTGCAACCGTCAACAGCCATCTAGTTTTTGGCTTACAGAGAGATCCAACTCGATATCTGGCATGTCATCTTCCTGTATGTTGATCACAGTCAGTTGCGAATCCAAGCCATCCACAAGACCACCACTGAAAACGGCCGCTCAGTACTTCCAGGTTCTCAATGGTGGTCTTTCTTAGATTGGTTTATGATTTCAACAAAACAGATAGTAGGATGGAAATGAAATCAATCTCCTAATGATTACCAGATAACAGGACGTAGTGTGCTATGTTACGTAGGCTAAACACGTCAATTATTGTGAAAACAGAGAAACTGATAGAAACTAACTTCATATGATTTCTATAGAAAAGAAAGGCTATTCATGCTATTCAAAGTATACTTGAGTGATATGATGATTATTTATCGACTATTGTGATAAGATTCTTGTTAAATGACACAGAGTTCTAACTGCAATAGTAATTATTTAATATGAGAAATAATCAACTGGAAAATTCACTAAAAGAAAATAATTCCTTACTAAATTCTATCAATGAGTCACGTTAACAAATCATTTAGGCTGATAGACTAGTTGATAAGCCGTTTGAAGAAATAATCAATTATTGAATGACACTGTGAATTATACATTTGAAAAGACAAACTTCATTCAAATTCATTCCAACATCTGATGAACAGGATTCGTGGGCAAGAATACAAGCAATTCTGATCGTACTACTACAACAGTTTGTTTTGCCTATAGTGATTGATAAAATGTGCTGTTCAGTGAAGGATATCGGATGGCTTCAACTACTATATAATCACGTTCTTGAGTAGGATCGAATTTACCTCTTGTTACTTCAGAACATTGTGGAAACTATCACTTCATTTGGTAAATAACATAGGAACACCATTTCTATATTTCGTAACGTTTCAAGTGTGAGTGTACATCTGAAGCAATTTCGTAACAATTTGTCTTTTCAAATTTCCACAGAAATAGTGTAGAGTTGTATACACTGTATCGGTGATAGCTCGCTTTGATACAGTATAAATTATGGTACTGAAACAGCCATTACCGAGACACCGAGATAATACAGTACATCGGCTACTGCATTGTTTCAATCACTGCCTGTCAAGAATTCATGCAACCCTTCACTGATACACTTACTTACTCTGCAAGCATTATTCATAATTGTACGCAATTTAGAGATTGATTTATCGATGAATGATTCTGAAAACCTTCAAAACTTGAATGATTCAGTAGCACCGTTGATGACATTCTCAATAATTCCAACCAGCATTTAGGTAATCTATAGCTCCTGCTGCTGCAAGTGACTGCAGTTATTTATCAGTGAAAGACATTTACCGCTCCTGTTGAGTCATTTCAAGGAAAAATGTTGAGCACGACATTTCAAATAATGCATGGAAACAATAACAACACAATCACGTGAATCAAACTAAGACATACTCAACCTCCCAGTCAGTGACATATTCCGACTTCCGATTTCAGTGCAAATTGTCGATTAGATGAGACATTGTAGACACATGCTAGTCAAGCATCAAATAAGAACCAAATAACTGACGCCCGATTTCACCAACACTTCATTGATCAACGCTCAAAAATTACCCCACACATAATAACTTATAGAACACAGATTGAGCAGTGTAGTTCATTAGGTCGTTTATTTATTCAGAATGTCTTAACATAATTACATGTGGACTCATGGACATATTATGTACACACATGAGAATGATACAAGCTGACACCATTCAAATATTGGAGTTCACAAAGCCCAACATTCTAGCCACACTAGCATACTCAACAAGAACATCTGGACGGTTTGAGAGTGTGACACCATGTGATACAACGCCAAGGACTGGACCTTGAGGAGATCGAAGGAGAGGTCCACCACTGTCACCTGGTGCGGTGATTTGCCCGAACACATACACCGCCTTCACACAAATAGGATTCCCAGTGGTGGAATGTTGGCATTCCATTACAGTCGCTCGACCTGTGTGAAAGAGAGAAGAGAACAGACAAGTGAATTTCGAAAATATCAAATGGCAGAAACAGTTCACGTTTAAGCAATGCGCAAGGTAAATAATGCGTATGCAATCTCTCTAATCGATGTGTACCATATATGTCAATCGAACCACAATCCATCTCACCACTGCTACAATATAAACACGAAATGGATTGACCACTTGCCTCGTATACAACACAATTCTATCGTTTGCACAGATGTTTCGTCATTTCTCTCTCGTCAGAACGATCGCTCATTCTATTCCTCATGATCAATGGACGAGGTGAAGACAGTCTGGAAACCAGTAACTGTAAATCAACTTTCACAGACAAATCAACAACAGCAATCACAACTGTCCAACACAACCACCGGATCAGACAGACTGAGTCATGTTGTTTGTTGACCACCAACTCACCTTTCTTCAAAATCCCACCAGCTCTACGCGACGGATCACGGTCGTTATCATCCCTTCCATAACCAACAATGAAAACATCAGTTCCAGGTGTCGGTATATCCGATGCCTGTGGCAGACTGATCACTCTGATTCCACTCTGTAAGTTGACCATTTGAGCGAGCATTACAGTTGCAATGTCGAATCCACTGAGTGTCTGTCTGATTTGTCTCCTCTGTCGTGACGCCGTACAAGAGGGCATGTATTCTGGTGCTACATTAACTCCAGACGGTTGGTGATGGATGCCTTGTTGGTCGCCATTCCTCAGTGTGAGAAATGAAACCTGAAATAGACAAAGTATGTTGATATTAGATCTATGCAAACCCACTGCATACACAAGCACATGCACACACACATACACTGTGTGAAATCAATCAAATACATTTCATTACAACAATGTGTCTCAGTGTGATCTCTTACCCGAACGACTGGCATTGGTGAGCAAACACAATGACCAGCTGTGAGTACTGCTCTCGTTGAGACTAGTGAGCCTGTACACATTGTTCTCTCTGTCGTTACAAATGCGATGTACGGAAATTCAGTGCGGTCTTGCACAGGTTCACCTTTACGTATCAGCCAGGTTGACACACGTTCAAATGTTAGACAGTAGGTGAACAGCGTCACCATCAGAAACGTCCGTTCGTTAAACATGTCTATGTGACTGTTGCAATCAACTACCTACAATCTTGCAACACATTCACTTATTTATATGTGAAAATATTCCGTGACTTCGAGTGCACGTGTGTTGGTGCATTGTGGGGAAGCCGACCTGCACTCCACTCAACCCATGGGTTGTTGTGACGGGTTTAATCGGTATTCATGACACGCCTCATTTTGTTGGGAAGTGCAGAGGGCGTATATGTTTTGGGTGTGAATGATTGTGGTTATGAGACTGTTATGGGACAACTCAGTGCATTATCTGATTACGTACGGTTGACTGAATTCGGGAAATGAAACATGGCTCATCAGCATAACGAGTTCAATCTGGACATGAATAATGAAAGCACACATTCGATCTGATGTTCAAATTAGCTACAGACATTCCATCTTTGTCCTACTGTATGTTTGTCAGCGAATATTTTATTCGATGAAGAAACATTATTGAGAAACGATTAAAAATTTTCAACGGAGCATTTCTGAACCGGATGAAAGACACAGTAGACGCTCGACTTCGAGATCAACAGACTGGATTTAGTAAGGATCGTTCGTGCACAGACCGAATTTGGACAACACGGATCATCGTGAAACAATCGATTGAATCGAACTCGTCACTATTTATCAACTTCTTTGACTATGAGAAGGCGTTTGACAGTGTGGGCAGATAATGCCCCTCCATCATAAAAAACAGTATCGTTATGAGGAAGTTATCTCCTAATATCTCATGCATTACTCACGAAATAATTAATATTCAGAAGAACTCTTATTATGACACATGCTACCTACTGATTCAGTGAATAGAACCTGATCAAAAGTACATTTTGACCGAGTTAATAATTCGCCATCATCTAGTGTAATTCGAATTCAGCTTATGTCTGATAGTATTAGGAAGATCCTCGATTCCTGTCACCACTAAATTGAAAGACGACATGTGAACCAAGCGGAAGCTAATATAGAAGATAGATAAAATAGATAAATTTCCCCAAACTAAGGACAACACTGAACAACTAAAAATCAGTTCAACGTTAATAATGATGAGCTCTCTTCAACTCGCAAGTTTAAAATTTCAAATGAATGAATAGTGAAAAATTGATGCTAAATAGAAGAAAAGATGGACGAAATTTGATGAAGTAGACAAGCTTCAATTTGATGTCAATTCCATCTCACACTCCAATCCGATACACATTCACTCATGATAATGACTCACTGTCAAATTGCATCTGACATTCTCCTTTCAAAATTTAATTCTCACTCCTTTCTGAACACATGGATATCTATTGAAGACGAGCTAAACGATAGAAATATAAGACCAGAACATCTGACCACTAATTGCTGAATTTAAGAGGAAAACATTTGATAGTTTCTCAATAATGTTTCTTCATCGAATAAAATATTCGTTGACAAACATACAGTAGGACAAAGATGGAATGTCTGTAGCTAATTTGAACATCAGATCGAATGTGTGCTTTCATTATTCATGTCCAGATTGAACTCGTTATGCTGATGTGAGGCTGATGAGAAATGTTTCATTTCCCGAATTCAGTCAACCGTACGTAATCAGATAATGCATTGAGTTGTCCCATAACACTGGTGAAACTGTGCAAGACCGCACTGAATTTCCGTACATCGCATTTGTAACGACAGAGAGAACATTGTGTACAGGCTCACTAGTCTCAACGAGAGCAGTACTCACAGCTGGTCATTGTGTTTGCTCACCATTGTCAGTGATTCGGGTAAGAGATCACACTGAAACACATTGTTGTCTAATGTTATTGATTGACTTCACAGAGAGAGAGAGAGAGGAAGTGTTTGCGTGCGCGTGTGTGTTTGTGATTGTGTATGCAGCGAGTTTGCATAGATTGCAGGAGCATTGGCTGCCCCCCACTAGTATTCTCTATCCAACCCTATCCTTTGCAAACCTTCCAAGTTCTTTCCATTAACAATCATCCTTTTAATATCTGTTTCTATTTCCCGGCGTATTGTGTTCTTCGGCCTTCCTCTTTTCCTCTTCCTTTCTGGATTCCAAGTTTTGGGCTTGATTCTTGATGCAGTTTGATGATTTCCTTAATGTATGTCCGATCCATGTCTAACGTCTTTTCCTAATTTCCTCTTCAGTTGGAAGCTGGTTCGTCCTCTCCCATAAAACGCTGTTTCTGATATTATCCGACCAGTGAATGTTGATTATTTTGCGTAAACAACTGTTTATAAATACTTGTACCTTCTTGATGATGGATGTAGTAGTTCTTCGCGTTTCCTTTCCGTACATTTGGATTGTCTGGACGTTCGTATAGAAGATTCTCACCTTCAAATTAGTTGACAGATGATTTAAGTTCCATCTGTTCTTCAGTTGTGGAAATGCGGTCTTTGCTTTGCCAATACTCGCCTTTACATCTGTATCCGATCCTCCTTGTTCATCAATGCTGCTATCCAGATACGTGCAAGACTCCACATCTTCCAGAGCTTATCCATTAAGTATGATTGGTTTAGTGTTTTGTGTTGCACTTCACGTTCTTGCTTTTCCCATTATGTATGTCGAGGCCCAATGATGCGAAGGCTACTGCTACAATGGCTGCCTTCACCTGCATTTCACAATGTGTATAGGATAAAATGGTCGGGTCATCTGCGAAGTCCAAATCTTCTAATTGATGCTGAGATGTCCACTGTATTCCGTGCTTCTCTCCACATGTCGAGGTCTTCATAATCCAGTCAATCACCAGAGGAAAGATGAAGGGTGAGAGTAAACAGCTCTGTCTGACTCCGGTCCTCACTGGAAATGCATCTATCAGCTGTCCTCCATACACCACTTTGCACTGTAGTCCGTCGTACGAGTTCTGGATAATGTTGACAATCTTCTGAGGAACTCCATAGTGTCGTAGAAGTTTCCATAATGTTCTCCGGTCCACACTGTCAAACGCCTTCTCATAGTCAATGAAGTTGATAAATAGTGACGAGTTCGATTCAATCGATTGTTTCACGATGATCCGTGTTGTCCAAATTCGGTCTGTGCACGAACGATCCTTACTAAATCCAGTCTGTTGATCTCGAAGTCGAGCGTCTACTGTGTCTTTCATCCGGTTCAGAAACGTTCCGTTGAAAACGTTTCCTGGTACTAACAACAAACCGATGCCCCTGTGGTTCTCACATTTGCTCAGATCTCCTTTGTTTGGTATCTTGATGAGGCATCTTTCTTTCCAGTCCGTTGGCACATGTTCTTCCTCCCAAATCTTCTTTAATAGAAGGTGAAGCATGTTTGCAGCTACTTTGATGTCTGACTTGAGTGCTTCAGCCGGTACATTGTCAGGTCCTACCGCTTTCCAATTATTGATTTGTCTGACGGCGATCTTGACTTCTTCGATCGTTGTTGGAGTGACAGGTATAGGAGGGTGATTGTGAGCTGCTTCGATCTGAGGTGGATTCAATGGAGCTGGCCTATTCAGCAGTTCCTCGAAGTATTCTGCTCATCTTTTCCTCTCTTCTTGAATCTCTGTGATTGTCTTTGTTATATCCTGGCGAAAACATAGGTACGGGTAACTACCAGGATCTATTATTGGACCACTATTCTATGTATATTTCTATTGTATAACTATTCAGCAACTAGATTATCTATATCTATATTCATCTTATTACAAGCCTCATTTTGACTTATTGATTTTTATTATACGATTTACCATTCCTAAATTATACTCAGTTTACTGATTACTGTCTCCCACGCTCACAGAGACATTTTGCTTGGTTTTGTGAAAATATTATTTTCTATTTTATGGTGTGATGTGATCTGTCTGTCTGATTTTTAAACAGAGTATGTTTGAAATGAACGATTCGCATACATTCGCATAACAGAAGCTGTCATTGGTGTTCCGGAATCAAGTTGACGGGCTAGGCGGTTTAAAGACCAATAAGGACGCGAGATTACTCATACTGATTAGAGGTCCTTGATTGTCACCGTGTTAAGGTCGGAGAAGTAAGATTTTCATTGGTGGATAATTCACGTAATAAAAGTTGGACGTAAAAACCAATAAAGAACTAGGATACGTCCTTGGTTTATCTTGTAAAGTCATATCAGTCTTTCCTTCTTTGTCCTCGACTACTTGGTTCACTTGCAGGCTTTGATTTGAGTGGTGATAGAATTCATGAATCCTCCAAATACTATCAGACATAAGCTGAATTAGAATTACACTAGATGATGGCAAATTATTAACTCGGTCAAAATGTACTTTTGATCAGGTTCTATTCACTGAATCAGTTGAAAGCAAGTGAGATTTCAAGAGTTCTTCTGAACATTCATTAGTTCGTGAGTTATTCATTAAGATATTGGAATGAAATATCAGTGGATAATTTTCTTGCTCTTTATTGATTGGTACGTTGAAACGCATTCTGAATGAATATTATTTGAATTTTATTTATTCTATGACTTGTCTTTACGCCAATGATAACACTCAAAAACTAAAAGAAAGTTCGACATTTGTAATG